CCAGAGCCATCACCACTGAGCATCAATGCTATGTGTTGTGCTTTTGAAATAAAGCTGATGTCGGGGTTAAACTCAAGCAAACACTTTGATTCCACAAAGTCATAGATTTTACACGAGGCTGTCCCAGAATGTGTCTCATCACAAATGAATCTGTCGGCTCTCTGGTTCCTTGTCTTCATAAATATGGGCTGCTCTGTCCAAGATCATAACAAGAATGTATTGCTGCAATTCCATGGATGAAGATTTGGGTAAAAAAATAAAAAAAAGAGCCTTTAAACTCTTGGGGAACCAAAGAAACAGCTATATGTTCAGATTGATAACCACGCATTCTTGAAAATATATAAGTTGGAACGGGTTTCATTTGTCTTGTGTGGGGATTCATTGAACCGTATACGTTTTTGCCTCAACATCAATGATATATTTGGATTTTTTAAATATTTTTCAGCTGTGTCCTAGTGCAAGTACCTAGACAATGCTTCTATGCCTCATCTTCTTACTCCATGCCATGATTTCTCCAGGTCCAGTTATATTTCTCCTGTCTGCCTGAGGACAAGATTCCCTACGTGAGCAGTCCGGGAGAGAAGTTTAGAATCAAGCAGCTCCTCTACCAACTTCCACCGCATGATAATGAGGTGAGAATATTTTGTGTGCATGTGCATAAATACAAGTAACATAAAATTCACCCCAACACGTCCTCTCATGTAAGCCACGCGGCTGCAGAAAAGAATTATTCTCCATTTTGTTTGAGTGGCCGTATCTGCCCGCAAACCCACGGTGTTAACAGCCTCCCCATCTCCATGCCACCCCACTAATGTGAGCCCTTGGCATTCACGTTGACATCCTACTGGGGGACTTTTGTTCCACAATCTTGTAGACGTGTAGTGTGGGCACAATGTCACTTTTGAGTTGATGATTTTATGATGTTTGCCAGGAGCCCCCACCAGCAGGATTCCTGTCATAGCAGTGTTTCTTTACGAGGACTGCTCAGCGGGAGAGAGGGGCTGCTGGTTGAAAGAGGCTTTATGTGATGCCACCACCGCAGTGGCACCACAGTTCGACTTGGCTGTCTCTCTTCCTTTGTTGCCCGTCCTCTTGATTTCACTCTAAACACAGGCCTTGTTTGTGTAAACGTCTGCTTTCCCTCTTGGGAAACATCAAAAAAGCCTGTTGTAAAAATGATGTTCTCAATCAGGACTGTGGGTGGAGATATGTAGGGGGGTGTAAGAAGGCCAAGCAGGGGTCAAGAATTGCCTTTCTTCAGCATGCTCTGGTATGCACTCTGCCCTCTCTCATACCTACCTAAGTTTATAACATTTATTAGTGGCCGACAGTCTTGCAATTGGGTCCTTCAAAAGGGCGTAATCCGAAAAGGTCACTTGGAAAAAGCAGTTTTTTTTTTACTGTATTAGACCTTTAAAAGAAGGAATCCCAGTCATTGTGTGATTGTGAAATTGGCCTTCGTACCCGGAACTTATCACTTTCCTTCCCCAGGTGCGTTACTGCCAGTCCCTCAGTGAGGAGGAGAAGAAGGAGCTGCTTATGTTCAGTGTCCAGAGGAAGAAGGAAGCACTGGGAAGGGGCACACTGAAACTGCTGCCCCGCAATCTTCTGAACAGCATTTGTGAGCATGTAAGTTCCCTGACTTGCATGTATCATGCCTGTGAGACTGTGAGAGGACTGGGATAGTTGTTTTAAAGTCAAGGCTATAGACTTTCAAAACCCAAAAGCCTTTGTCAACCTTGGTACTAAAACAAAAAAGGTTTACTGCCTGTCCTCTGTACAGCTTCATGTACATTATTTGATATTTGGCTAATGTGAATCCAGTTTTAGCTACAACCCAGAAAGAAAGCTGAAGTAAATATCTGTGTCAGCTATGCTATTTAAGAGATACCAAACACAAGCTGGGTTTGCAGCCATCACTGCTGAGTGGTTTGGAGTTGCTCATGACAATTGTTTCACTTAGTATTTACAATGATTATTGAGCAGCCAGAGGGTGCCCATAAACCTTGTCAAAACATAGTCCCATTGATGTAGCTCTCCAATAGAAATCTATGCTGTCTCTGGTTTTCCTCTTTATAATTGTCCATCCTATTCAAAGTCACTGTAGTTGATGTAAAAAAATATCTCCTCATATAATGCAGAAAGGCCACTATGGGAGTGCAGTTATTTACAACCTCAATATGAGGCTTTGTGTTACATTAGGAGCACATGTGGGCTTGAAGCCAGAGCTATATCTGACAGATATAATCACCTCTGCAGGATTCAGATTATTTTATGACAGAATATTTTGGAACAACAGTCATTACAGGATGTTATAATAAGCCATGTGTCCGCATATTGCAGTGTGGTGAAAAGATCAACGGTGGAGAAATGGCAGTGTTCTCCTCAAGGGCGGACCCTGGGCTATGCTGGCACCCCGCATGCTTTGCCTGCTCCACATGCAGCGAAGTGCTGGTGGATTTGATCTACTTCTACCATGATGGAAAAATCCACTGTGGAAGGCACCATGCTGAGCTACTCAAACCACGCTGCTCAGCCTGCGACGAGGTAAAACCACCAGACTGGAATACTGAGACAAAACAATGTAGTGAAGAAAAAACATCCAGTGTTTGACGTTTTTGGCCATTCCGAATTAAACTAGGGATAGCAAAAACATTTAATTTATATCTCCATTGCTATGCATAAATCCAATATATATAAATAAATAGATTGATGTTAGCCAGGAATGCAAAAGCTGGCAGTTTTGTTTCATCCAGTGTACATCTATGTCTACAGATTATCTTTGCTGATGAGTGCACAGAGGCAGAAGGCCGCCATTGGCACATGAAGCATTTTGCCTGCTTTGAATGCGAGACAATCCTGGGGGGGCAGCGCTATATCATGAAGGACGGCAGACCATACTGTTGTGGCTGCTTTGAGTCTCTCTATGCAGAGTACTGTGAGGCCTGTGGGGAACACATTGGTAAGAAGATGATTTTCTAGAGTTCAGATAAAACACTTCGGCATGACTGTCCAGTAGTATTGCTAACCATCTCAACATATCCTGATTTCCAGGTGTCGATCATGCTCAGATGACCTATGATGGGCTCCACTGGCATGCCATTGAGAGCTGCTTCAGCTGTGCCCAGTGTAAGAGCTCTCTCCTGGGCTGCCCCTTCCTGCCACACCAGGGCCGTATTTACTGCTCCAAGGCCTGCAGTCTCGGGGAAGACGTGCATGCCTCTGACTCCTCCGACTCTGCCTTCCAGTCAGCCCGCTCACGTGAATCCCGGCGCAGTGTGCGCATGGGCAAGAGCAGTCGCTCAGCCGACCAATGCCGACAGTCGCTCCTCTTCTCCCCCTCAGTCAACTATAAGTTCCCTGGCTTCAGCGGAAATGCTGACGACACCCTGACCAACAAGCTTGCCCACATGAACTTATCTGATGAGCATTTCTGGAGGGAACGTGGCGAGGAGACCGATGCACCTGAGGACCAGGAGGAGGAGGAGGAGTGGGCGGAACATGAAGACTACATGACTCAGCTGCTATTAAAGTTTGGGGAACATGGGGTCTTCCAGCAAGCCATTGACTCCAGACCCACAGATTTCTGGATGGCTGACAAGGATTCCAAGTCAAAGCAGGAGTCATCAAAAGATGGCACTGGTGGTGTTGGAGGAAGGGGGAGTCTGGCCAGTAAGAAGTACCAGGCTGACATGTACTGGGCCCAGTCACAGGATGGGCTAGGGGACTCAGCCTATGGTAGCCACCCGGGTCCGGCGAGCAGCAGAAAGATCCAGGAGTTGGAGCTGGATCATGGGGCTGAAGGAGGCTTCCAGGGAGAGGAGCCACGATGGTACAATGACTCCTTGGAGTGCATCACAGACGAGTTCAAGAAGACGGATCAGAGTGTTCGAGACTCTATGGACTCACTGGCACTCTCCAATATTACCGGTGAGTCGCTGCGACATGATGCATCAGACCCTAGAAAATATTCTTTTATAAGATGACAATGACGCTTGTGCAAACATTGTATAATTTGTTCTCTCTTCCCTCCAGGGGCCTCGGTAGATGGTGATAGTAAAGATAGACCTTTGGTATATTCCCTGCAAGGCTTCCATGAACTGGAGACAGAAGACTGTGAGAAAAGCAGCAACATGGGAACCCTCAACTCCTCTATGCTACACAGAAGTGCAAATTCCCTGAAGAGCCTTGTGTCAGAGCAGGAGGAGGTGGAGGAAAATGTCCCAGAAGAAGAGGAGGTGCCTCTGCCAGCGGACAGAATCAAACCTCATGTCCCTGCCCTCAGGAGGACACGTTCACAATCCAGGCCGCAGCAAGTCAAGTTCTCTGATGACGTGGTGGACAACGGCCATTATTGCGATCTCCCAGTACGCCAACCGCCTATGAGTGAACGGACTCGCCGGAGAGTGTACCACTTTGAGGAGCAGGGCCAGGAGCCTCAGTCTGGTCGCCACCATCACCACCACAGGAGGCATCGCAGTCGCAAGTCTCGCTCTGACAATGCTCTTCACCTTCTGCCCAAGGAGAGGGCCCAAATGTGCTACAAAGTGGACCACAGAGGGGCCGCCATCGGCCCCAAGGGGCACCAAGCCCTCCATGGCCACCCCAGTCCTGCTGCCATGTCAGACTACGGGCTACAGGGCCAAAACATGGGGAGGTTCTTGGAGCTGTATGGGGATGACGATGACTGGTGCTCCACATGCTCTTCTTCCTCCTCTGATTCTGAGGAAGAAGGCTTTTTCCTGGGTCAGCCCATCCCTCAGCCCAGGCCCCAGAGACACTACTACACTGAGGACTTGCCCAGCCCTGTGGCAGGGATGTCCTCTACTCCTTATGGCCTACGGACTAAGTCCAAAAAGAAGAAGGGGCACAAGGGCAAAAACTGTATAATTTCATAGACTTTCATTACACTTATCCTTAGCGCTGGATAACACTCTGCCACTCACCTCTGCCTCTCATGTACACTGTACAAAATGCGATAACACTCTGCTTGCTTTTAAAGGTTTCACAGCACTCAATTTACCAAGGTGTCTGTAAAAGACACCAGTCCTTCATAGGTGTATGCATATCATTGCAAACATTTGCCAGTAAAGTATTCTAGAGTAATGCATATTTATAAACCACCATCTAAACTTGTCTTTATTTAACAGTGAAGATATTAATGTATATATTGTAGAATAAAAACAACCCAAAAAACGGCTATTTTTTATACCCTTGAGTTAACGACGTGCTTTGTAGCATAAAGCCATTAACATTTAACTATTGGCAGTTGGTACAGAGAGCCATTTTTCCATGAGGCTGTCAGAAAGTGACAAGTTGACTCTGACCCAAGCTCTTCAAATGTGTTTTCTTCCAGGCTTGTTCAGCGCTAGCATGAGAGAAACAGTGTGTATTAACAGGCCTTGTTGAGTGGTGTATTTATGGGTCACTGTATTAACAAATCATTGTAATCTGTATAAATGTACAAACTGGAATATAAGGCTGAGATAGATGATAATTGTAATAAAACTATCTATATATCATGATTTGTAATTTGCGTCTTTCCTGCACAGAAGTACTTCATGGATACAAGAAACAATTTCAAGGCTTCAGCTTTTATTAGAAAAGGATGATATTCACAAGATGTTTGACAATTCATAAGACAAAACATTCAAGATCTACATACATACAGTATAAAAACTCTTTTAATATATAAAATAGCACTGCACTGAAAAAAAAAACCCACATGGAGTTGGCACCTTCAATACTGGTATGGGAGTGCTTGTTACAGTTAGTTGCACGGCGCTGCCTCATCTAAATACAGTGACTGGAAGCACAATACCCTTCATATCACTTAAGACCGAGTAGAAGGTTGTGATAGGAACGTTTCATGTAAATATTTCATTTAGATCTATTTAAAATTTCATCTGTAATCCACTAAACGTAATAGTATTTCATAGGTTTTCCACAACATCATTTATGATAAAAATGCAGCTGAATCTTACACACAAGAAGCTTTGTTTGTACTCATAATACTGCATGTCACCACACAGCCATTTGAACAACTATCCGATCGAGCATTGAGTCTAAAATCCAATTTATCTTTCAGCGTGTGGAAAAGTGCCACTGCCAGATATTCTGTCTTTTCTTAATAATACATGTGAATATCGGACAAGTGAAAAAAACACATTTCAGTGTTGTGACTTGTGGCTTACGCTGAGGTGTCCGGCTGCTTTAAGACCTCGTCCAGCTCCTTCACAAAGTGCCGTAGGGCATCTAAACAGCGCTGTTTGATCTCCAACAGGTTCTCATCCAGTGGAGCCTGCAGCAGGTTATCCAAACTGGGCTCCTTGGCCACCAACATCTTCACCACGGTGCGGAACGTCTCACAGTCCTTCCTGTAATGCTGCACACAAAACAACCATGTTAGGGACGTCAATGTCCATGATGATAAAAATGAAGTACATAGTGTAGAAACCAAAGGTCAATGTTTTTGTAGGACCGTTCTAGATAACACCCAATCTGGAAGTCCGGTATTCTTCTCAATCTTTGGCCAACCAACCACCTCATATGACTGAATTAGTTGGTATTTTATGCACATAGAACACGTATATGCATACCGAATAAACAATATACAAAGGGGAATTTAAATTGACCTCGCAAATAAGTAAGCACCTCTATACGAGAGCTCTTTGAATACTACAGACCGGCTCTTATATCAACGCCTGACTGTGAACTTAATGAACCCAGCTCTGGTAAAATCGGTGAATTCCATGAAACAGGTGTGTGAATGTGTGTATGCGAGCCCATTCAAGTGCATGTCCGCCCAGAACAAAGGGGACACGAGGTGTCAGAGTGCGTTACTGGTGCTGCAGCATTCTTTCACACCACATTGTAACAAGCTCTCACATCCCTCTCAGATTTTACTGCTAACCCAAAACGGCTGTTAAGTCCTTTATTAGAGTCCCAGGTGCAAAGCTCACAACATCTTTATCACCTGGGGAGAAAAGACTAAATGTGGGGCCCTGCACTGAAGCCACCCTAGATGTTTAGGGCTCCACCAGCCTGTCAAGGAGCAGTCTGTGACATCAGGGTCCTCCAGGGTTATGTTAATGCAGCCCAGATCACCTCTCCCCTCAAATTAGAGTCACCGGGGCAGACACAAGGCTTCTCTGTGGCTTCAAGACAACCACTCACTTGGCCACTACAAATAAGAAATCCAATCCAATTACTATCGTCTCTCTAAGACATCTACATTTACAGAATATGCTTTGTATTTTACAATCGGCTGTAGGTTACCACTTCATCAATCCTGCTGAAGTGGCAGGAGATATGACTTACTTCTTCAAAGTAGTGGTCTAAACTCCCTAAGAGGAATTGTATATCTGTGTCATGTTCACCGCATAACCATTTTAGGAATGTGGGCTGTGCGGGTCAAAAATGAGTTGACAGTATCTCATCGAACATTAATTGTCTGTTAAATGTAATAAAACACACAAAGAAACATCAGCGCTGTTAACTTTGAAAAGAAAAATGCTGCCCGTCAACTTAAATCAGAGCCCAGTCTTGAGCAGAATGTGAGGTTAACCGGTTAAAACGGCTTCATTCCAGCGTTCTGTCAGTTATGGGGAAATATAAAAACCACAGCTGCTGTTACTTTGCCCAGACACACATTACACAATGTGTATCCAGGCTAACTCGTGATCGTGTATCCATCAATTTGTATAGCGCTCACAAGAGCTTTTGTATATTTGTTATATCCCTGTCACATGACTTCACTGTAAATGGTGATTATTTCATGGTGTTTGTAATGTCTGTGTATGGCCGTCACTACACTTTGTAAAGAAACCACAGTCCGTATCAAGATGATCTCTTCCATCGAAACCTGGGAGGGAACTCGTCTGGGTGGTGCTTTAAACACACAGAAAAGGTCAAAGAAACAAAAATAATACGACATTCAGTTTGGAACAATAAGGATGGAGACAATGTGCCACATGGGAACCACTCACTGGCTAAAAGAAAGGCTATTCAGCGCACCTGTAGGACCGAAGTAGGCTAAATAAGGTTATGAGAAATTATAAAGTTACACACACACACACAAAGGGAGAAAATAAAGGGTCTCCATTTTCTGCTCTACCCACTTATTACAATGATGCCAGATGCCTCCAGCACCTCGATCACGTCAGTCCTCCTTCATGGCTTTTTTAAACATTTTTATTTCTCTCACTCTCTCCCGCTGATAATTCCCCTGCTGAACAAGCAACAGCATGTTCAGATAGTTGATGCACTCCTATCTGTTCATACGCGCATCCCTAACCCACATTCTGTGGTACGGGGACATGACATCGGAACCAGAAAAATGTATCAAATATTTTGGTAAGGTGAAAAACTATGACAACTATGAGTATTATAACAACACAGGTCATTATATCACTTTATCACAACACGCATTGTAAACACACGGAGGAAGGCGAGTGGAGTAAACTCCGACAGGAATATCCTAGAGACTGTGGGAGATGTTTGGACTCACTGCTGATGATTTAATGTCTGCAGATCATGTCAAGCGCATTCGCGGCCCCCGCGTAATGATAGTCTTCAGCCACCGACCACAAGGAAGCGAAAGACTCACGACATGTGTGGCCAGCTATAAGCTCAGGGTCAAACTCATTCCACAGCACAGGTTACCCTTCTGTCTTCATGCTCTACATGTACGAGTCCCTTCACAGGCTATTCTTAAGCGTTTCACATGATCTTCACGGGTGGATTTCCACACCCCTACCTCTTTGAGTGCAGATCTCTCCTTTGTTAAACATGTCCACTAAGCGAGAATTATTTCGCAGAGGCAAAGATGGGTTCCAGGTCTGAAGATGCGAGAGGAAACATGGGCTGAATGAGACACTAACATGTGGTGTGTGTCCCATAAACCAGAACCCCTCTAATCACTTACGGTTGATTATGTTGGCCTCCTTCAAAACAAAAGCTTCCCAAGCTACAGCCTTTGTTGACAGTGATTACATTTTCACTTCATTATATCCTGTAGACACAGTTTTACACACTTGAAAGCCTTACGGAACGGGGTTGGAAATAGTGGCCTTATAATGAACGATGAACTCAAATGAAGAGATTTCCCTTATTGGTACCGCAGCTAAGAAGACTGGGAGCTGTCATGTGCTTACATGCGCATGACTGTGCATATAAATGCGTGATAAAATGAGGAGCATCACTCCACATTTATTACAGCACTGAACAATTGTGGAGTGACTTCAAACAGCCTGCTATTTTTTGTAAAAAAAACTGCTTCCACGTTACTTGAACAAACAGGAAGGGTGCTTTTGACCTGAGCGTGCTCTGTGTGTTGTGAGAAAAGGTTGCAGGGAGGTTCTGCCTAAATCCAACACCCACCTCTCCTTCAGTGGGAGCCATGAGCTGATCTTTAAGCTTGATACTAAGGGGCCACACAGGACGGGCTGGAGCCCCAAGAGAAACCGGCAACACTAGGGGCATAAAGGAGGAGCCTTAAAAAGTGGGCTTCTGCCCAAATCGGATGTTTGTGGAGGTCCAAATTGTGCACATACTGACGGGAGGGTGCTGGGGTACCGGGTGGGGGATGAGAGGTGGGGGGGGGGGGGGGTTTGACTGAGATTATACATAAGGCACTCACATGGACATTTAGTGAGGCTCTGTTCAAATGAGCACTGAGGCAGGCAGGGGGCCTGCATAATAGGGGAAGCGGGGTAATGACTTGAGGGCTGGTACACATTAGGGGATATTAAAAGAGCCATTCTAATCACTCAAGCTGCAAACCGGACCTCTCGATGGAGGGGCTAATAGTTGAAATGGATATGTTTCATTTGCGGTGATTGGGATGAGGAATGGACTTCTCTGAAAATTACTCCCAGGCACTTAGTTCAGTATCGACTAGATATTTTCGATGTTGTTGTTGTTGTTGTTCTCATTTTACAAGCTCAGATTGTGCTGAGCTGTGGTCAGTGCCGAGATTGATAAATTGCTCCATCTGTTGCAACAACTGCATGCTGGTCATTACGCCTGTAACATTTTTTGACACATCTTATGACAAGCGATGTCATAAGTGGGGATGTTTACTGTTTCAATGAATTTTTGGTTGCTAATTTCATTTATAACCCTGAAACCCCCACTCAAAGTATGCATTACATTGAGTGTAAACAATGAGCTATGCTGGTGTGACAAATCCATTTCCAAATAATCTGGCCCCATGCTACCAGGGCTATTAAGACCGTTCTGATCAGACAAATAGCCCCATTTAGGAAAGACAAGAAAATGATGGAGTGGTTTATTTCGGTGTATGTTGCGCGCTTGTTTTACACAAAATGCTGTGGATTGGAGCCATTTCTTTAAACGAGGTGGTCTGAGATCCAGCTCTGCCCACTATCCGATCCGCTCAGTCTGGCGATCCACGGCAGCGATAGATCGGTGGGTGTTTAACGACCCCTGGGGGCAGATGTTACAGTAAAAGACACGGTAGAGGATTCTGCCTCTCACCACATCTGTAGAAGCAGTTGGAAATGGCAGGGTAAGCATGTGTGTGCTAATGCCAAGAGACGTACCACACTGTGGGTGGGCCACCTGCATCCTGCAGGGCAATTCCTGCCCTGCTTTAACGAGAACAGATAAGTGGTACTGTAGTGCGGAGCGATGAAGGGTAGGGAAAAGAGCAGGCCACAGGAGGCATCCCGACCTGAGGTGCTAAGGACTTTTCTGCTGACTTATCCTCCTTCTCTCCACCTAAAAAATGTTTCTCGATTTCTTAAATACTACGCGTAGCAAGCCAATGCACATTTATATACGCCTTTTACGTCAACCCCTTGACTCACAGCCAAATCGTAAAACCAGTGTGAACCAGGGTTGTCTGGATACGTGACGCACCTCGAGATCAGGGTAAGGCCCACACGTGTAACATGGGGAGAGAACACAGTAAGGGGAACTCATAGGAACCTTCGTTTTGGGGCTACAATGTCCCAGCTACCGATTTCTGTATAAAAAACAACAAGTGCTACAGTAAGTGTGTTATTTAATACTGTTTGTTAGTTTCTCTCTACAACTGCCCACTGACACACTCCCTGACCGTTGCCCATGTTCTGTGTGACCACTTTGACTCTGGATATTAAGTGTGGTGAATAAGACTCATGGGGTATTGCAGTATATAGGAGACCCCGTGATAGGAATGGAGAAAGCTCCGGATCTAACAAAGACAGCGGAGACAAGGTATATTATGGAGAGTTGAGAGAATTAACAGAAGTGAGGTCGTTTCATGGAGAAAATCTTGCTACCGTCTCAATTTCCAGAGCCTTCGCTTTAATGGCCTCCGACCGGCGAGCCTTGAAGTCTTCCTCTGGTGTCGGCTTTGGCTCCATGCTGGCAGCAACCACCTCCTCCGTCTCCGCTGCAGATGCAGGAGTTTTTTCCTGGCGGGCCAAAGGTTAAAGGGTTAGAACGGAGGTCACTCGGTTTAGAAGCTGGTTCTGATTTCAAAGTGTTTCAAACGGAGACAAACTCTGCTCTTGTACGAGTGTTGAGGTCTTGTTTTGGTACATGTCTCATTATGCACGCTGCATGTCAACAGTAAACAGCAAAGACGGGCCATGTACAATACATCTCTGTGATTAAAGGATCCGTACAGCCAAAGATCAAAGTAGAAGCCCGCTGACGCAAATAGATCGGTCAGTTATACTTACAGTTAAAAGAAACTTAACCTAAATGTCCACAAAGCAAAGAGCATATTCTTTTTTTACGTTATTTTAGTCTTTACTGTACCATACTGGTGGTTTTGTCCGTTTTCGTCCCGTTGATTATACATGTACTACAAAATCTTAAATCTTAAAGTTACATTGTCACCACAACACAGTTGATGAAGTCAAGGACACGGTTTACAACTCTTCTTTTTGATTAATTCAAGAACAATCTAAGACCTGAAAGTTTGACGCTTATAGCAATATTAGAAACCCGTGGTGGTGTGTTGACTGATGTTGCAAAATGTTTCTTGTAAGAGCAATACTGGTTGCCCTCAAATGCTGGTTTTACCTTTGAAGATCCAGAGCTGTGAGGAGCCTCCTCCTCCACAGAGCTGCTGGGAGTGTGGCTCGTCGGCACACTGGTCTTATCTACGGAGAAAGCATCACGAAAGAACAGTGAGAAAACAAGCAGGGAAAAAGAGGTTGATCTAAAAACAATAGTGAGGGCGACCACAGCATTCCTTTTTTTCTAATTTTGCTCTGTATTTAAATAGACCCTTGGGGAGCCTCCTGGTGGGCCAGTGAGCCGGGACGCAGGCCAAGTTAAGTGCAGCATCCCCGGTTCAAATCTGGAAAGGGTCCGGGACCACACGTTGCTCAGCTCGTTCCACTGTGCTGTCTAATAACTAGAAAATAGTATATTTCTTTAAACACCCTGGGGAACGATTACTCTCTACTGTGAGACATCAAACAATGACTCACTTGTCATTGTGAACAATTGTGAAGCCAAGGCATTATGAGGCAGCTGAAAAGTATCAATCAATGTTGTTTTTTAATACTCCCTTGTTGGATCCTCCCGCACAATAGCGGTCGAGGAGTTCAGCTGTGCCTAAATTGAAATATTGTCCTTTGCCGGCTCCAATGTGTCTCGAAAAAAACAAACAAATATGAGTAAGTTGTTTATTTTTACGGAAGGAATCTCCCACAGTGATTAGAGTGAGCCAAGGTATAATCTCCAACTTAATGCGAGTCCCTCGGCAAGACTACGGAGCGCTCATGTGGCGCTCTCTCTCTGAGACCCCACAAAGACTGGATACTCAGACGCCGTAGTTTGGACCACACAGACATAAAACTGTGAGGCTTGGGTATGCCAAAAAACAAACTAGTTAATATGACATTGTGTTTGAACATGTCTAAAGGCGTAAGTGTTTATAACGCTTCCGAATGACCGCGCTTTAAGGGACGAAATGCCTGCCATCGTACGGAGGAGGGGCTTAGTGCAGTAAGTGTTTGAATGGCAATAACAGAGCAGGAGAGAGCAGAGTACATCTTACCTCTTACCTCTCGGGCCAATTGCTGTGTATAACATACGAGTGTTTCTCAGATTGTCGGTTTTGGGAAAAGGGGATCATGAGTATCCCCACCTGCCCGGCACCTCGCACCCTCAGTAACGTTCCAGTAAACCTGGTTTCCATAACTGGGGTCAGGGATTAGAGGAAACTGATCTCCCCAGCTAGAGTTCTCTGCCATGTATACGGGGAACCGCGGTGTGATTACAACGAGCGATGCATTCTTGCATTTAAAATAATTCCATCCAAAGTTTGACTGAAACTAACGTGAAGTCGGTTTTCCACTGCTGAACAATTAACTATTTGTTAAATTCAGGCACTTCTGTGCTGTGAGGGTTATCTCCAGAGAGAGATAAACAACAAGTCCAAACTAACATTGGGGTAGTGGAGACATCTGATTATTGATGTGCTGCATGTATGTACTACAATGTGTGTAAACATGTTACACGTCTGCTGGTTTCTCTAAATAACCTGGTTACTTGAGTGCACGTAAAGGCACTGCCTGGGCAACTAGAGAAAAGGTGCGAGTCCAGCCTGCATCCAGGTGTTTGGTTCCTGAGGCTCGACTATAGCCTTGCAGTTGGTGGGCCCATGTTGCAGCAGCCCCTGTGTTACTCGCCAATAATAGTCATCATCATAGACCTAGATTTTTGCAAAAAGACGTTGCATACAGCTTGTGTGTGCAGGACAAAGTCACTAAAACCCAGAGCTGGCCTAATTAGTATCCCAGATGGGAGTGGAGTCGGGAGGTACGATTGTTTTCTCACAGTTTTATTGCGTCTTCAAAGGCTGGTACATGGAGCTGAGCCCTCACCGCATTAATATGTTTATGTGTCTTAGAAATCAAAGCACAGGAGGAGTTACTGTCCCCACTGCTTTGCCTCAGACTAATAACATTGCTTTCGCCAGATCACTTTAAATTAGATTTATTTTGTAAAATGAGAATCCATAAATTTCATTAGCTCAGCATTTGGTAATTTAAGTTGTAAACCCTGTAGAAGTCTCATGTAATGTGACAGACCCAAAGTCATTTTGAAGACATTGTTAAGCCAACGCATGAACTAAAGAAAAGGTCAAGTTCTGAATACAAAACCAAACCACCCCAATAAACCAAGGCTATCTGTTTTTTCCCAGCCTCTGAAAGTGTGTGTGGTGTTAGTGTAATTAACATCCTAACGTGTTTCAGCACACCCTGACCCTTCACATTACACACCACCTCTGAAAACAGATGCTTCACCTGGAATGGCTTAATGCCTTGACACATTATAATTATACATATGCCTTTGTGAAAACGGGAAAAGTCTCTCTTTTGTTGCCATTACAGAGCGTATAACAGCTGCAAGGACAAACATCAAACTAGATACGCGTGAATTCACAACTCTGTAGCCCTCCTATTTATATCTGTGCTCCTTCGGGTTTTGCACGACGTGGCCGATCACAGTGTGCGTTATTGGACGTCATACAATCCACTCGGGCAGCCGGTCACACAGCTCGGTCCATCACTGCTAGTGCTTTGCAACACATTTAACAGAATAAAAGAGAGCATTCTCTGCCTCTGTATTCCTGCGATTACGCCCCAGTTTCATTATTGATATTCATGAGTAGGTGTGGAGACATGGATGACTTCCTGTTATTCCCCTCAGCTGATCACAGTGCAAGATTGTAACGGAGGCTTTTTGAAATCGGTAAACCTGAGACTTGCTATACGTACGCCTTTGCTGGGCCTGCTGGTAGGTGAAGCCTTTCTCTCTGTCCGGGGAGAAGCTCCGGCTGCTGGTGTTTGATCCAGAGCGGACAGGTACAGGTGGATGGGCTCCCCTCCTTCCAGGAGAGCGCTCACGTTTGGCTACTACAGGCGGAGAATTCCTGCAGTCATAAAAACAAAGCTCTCGCAGCGTGACGGGTTGTTGATTCATTTAATGCTCCCCATCGTAATATTCGTGGACACCAAGACGGATATAACTAGTGTGTTTGAATGTCATTTAATACAATAGCCTCCTGGACAATGCTCGTTACGGACTTATTTAGTCACGTTGATTGGCAGCCCTCTCTTTAAGAACTAAACACCTGATTTTAAGGCCTGCCTGCTAACAGAGTTGGCAGTTTGATAAATGTATTCTAGGAGACTTTATGGCAGTGACACTGACCTTAGAGGAGGGCCTGACACTTGGCCTCTGCTGCGGAAATAAGGACCACTTCTGCCACTGTGCCTAAAGAAAAACAGGAAAAAATAAACATACAGACACAAAAATGACCAAAATCAATTTCTGGAGAGACTGCTCTGCAGCTAAAGAAAGGTCAAGGCAAAATATGATGTATACAAAGTCTTCGTCAGAGAACGCCTTCAGTTGGGTAATGGAAACAGAATAAATAGACAAAACCACAGAGACTTAAATTCAGTCTCAGTGGGGCACTGATCAATTTGTTGAATTGAGGCAATCTTCCACTTTGGAACATGCAACTGTTGGCAGACAGTTGGAGCAATTTTGGTCTTCTTTCACTTCTATACGTCTTCAATTGCAGGCAGAGTCATGATTAAGCCTTAATATGAAGCTGAATTCACAAAGCACGGTCACCAAATTTGCTATTCAACCATGTAATGCAATAAAGCATCCACCTAAATGCGTGATAGGTCTTAGCACAAACACTGAAACGTCTTTGTACTTTGTTTTCATAATGTTCCAGGCCGAAGCCGTGTGTCCTGACAACAACCTTTAGGTCCAGAGGTATAAAGGACCCAAAGGCACCTGGTTGTTATGACCTCGGCCTGAACTCGAGCCACCTCTCAAACAAAGAGCAGGTCTAACAAGACCTCGAACGTTTACGACTCGTGGTCTTGTTTGAAGCAGCCAAGACTCGGCCTGCCATTTGCCAAACACTTAATTGCCATCCGTGGACTACAGAAGACAGACACAGAAAAAGTTTTGTACTTTATATTGGAATAAAACTAAAATTGTATATACTCTTATGAAACATACTCTACTGAGAGTCAATACACTGATAAATGACTAGAACAATGCAATGACTGGATGAGTCATGAATCCTTAAAACAATGGTCGGTCCCAAGAGACAGAACAAACTAATAGTAACAACTTTGCATCTTTATTCCCTTTGCTGTCTTTAACAATCACGCAAAGCAGAAACATGTCTGGCTTGTTTGAAAATAAAAATAATTCACTTGACTGGATGGATTTTTGCCAGTTCATTAGGCGGTTCACTCATTTCATAATCTGCGGGTAAAACCTCCACAAGGGAGCACAATAAACCCCTCAAGTGTGTGTCACCAAGACTCCACTACAGAACATTATTACGTTTATCCCACACACTTTGAGCTTCATTTAAAGCTACAGTAAGACAACAGTGTTGCTTTAGAGTCGACGCACGTAGCCGCAGAAGCTACGCTATTACTCCCTATGACTGTGACCATTGCTTTGGCTTACAGAGCCTGGAGTGCCAGGGGATTCTGTCTTGTGCTAAGATTGAGATCGTTTCATATTTGCCACCTCGTCAACATGGCCACTGTCGCACCGTGTGCAAGAAAGGATCCTACGGTCAGAATTCTTGCCTCGTTGTCTTTGAGATAGGATCAGGTAAGAGGCAAGCTCTTGACATGAGCATCACTTAAACCAAAACACTGTTGTTATACTGTTGTGATAGAAATGATGGAGCATTATTACATGGATGGGTTAGGTTTGTGACTGTTTTTTAAAGTCTGTCCTAAAACAATAGTGAGGTTTCCCCTATGTACACGTTTGTGGTTGTAATCATTCCTCCTGTTCATTATAATATCTCTTCCTAAAGGGCTTCCAATGTACGTGATGAGAGTTCAAATCCACAGTTCTGTTTTGTGTGAAAAATACATTCAACAGATGAGATTTTAGGGTAATTTGGAACCCTAAATTGACCTAATAGGAATTCAATATTGTTGTAATTTCACTGCAGAAAGGACCAAAAGAAACACAAGACATACTTTGCTCAGAATATCTGACAAGTGTCGTGGTGTTTGACTGAGGAGGGAGTGGTCCAGCTGTTTTTCTTCTCAGGGTGGGGTGAGGGCTGGGGGGAGGGGTTGTTTGACTGAGTGAGTAGACACTAGTGCCCTTTGTCCCCCTCTCTCGCCTGGTATGACTGCTGGAAAGGGGAGCTCGGGCCCGTAAACTGTTGGTATGTTGAAGTGGCCGGGGCGAGAAGAGTGTCTGTTGATGTATAAGTAGTGTGTTGATGCTGGACTTAGCAACATTGTGTGGGGTTAAGCTCTTCAGCTTATCTCAAGAGCAGCGTGGTCATAGATCATTGCAATATGCTCATCATATTTTCCGTTTTCTTTTTAAAGTTATACTTTTCTGCCAAGGCAACAATGTGTAATAACATAATTCAAAAATACATTTGAAAGTGATTTTACACACATGAGTTTGGTTTACCCATTTTATTCCCTCAATGATATCACATGCCAGGAAAGTCACACATCAAATACCTATCAAGCTGACAACACTCACGTTTAAAAAGACTGAACTCTGCCTCCACCTTGTGGGCAGTTGGATGCATTACACAAACATTTCAGTGAAGAAAAACTGTGTTGATTAATAAAACAATCACTATGACTTACCTTGAGCCTAACTGATGCCTCAAATCATCTCTGCCATAAGACTGTTGCGAGTACGGGCCCTCCTGAAAACAAAATCACGATTACAACAACCCTTTAAGGTTCCCCGTGGAACGCAGCACACGTTCCTGTTCGTGGTTTCAGCCTATTCCACTGATCGACAAGTGGCGGCAGTGCACAAAGATATAGTGCAATGCACCAGCAAAGACAAGAAGGAAGAAGTTTGGGAAATACAATGTACACATCGTGACGTTATTGGGAACGACAAAAAAAACAATTAAACTAATGCAATTGACCATTCTGTTGTTAACTTCCTGACATACTTAAGTTGGAGTCAGATGCATCGTTGTGCCATTTGTTAATGTTTCTATTTAATCAGCTAAAAAAAAAGCACTTTAACACTCTGCTCTGGCTATAGTTACACTTGTTTACGAACCTGGAACACAAAACAGAGTCAGTTTATAAAATATGCAAACCAAACGTGTCTTACATTTTGCGGGGCATTTCTGCGAAAATTGTCGTGCAAGCTGTCATCAAAGTAGCGACGGTCATTGGATGGAAAACTGTCTTCTTCGTGGCATTCTCTTTCATCGTAGTAACGTCGAGGCCCACCATACCACTGGTCATCATCAAAACCGCCGTCAAATTCCACATGCGGCCGGGGCATAGGGCTCCTCTTATCAACAATATTAACCACTCGATGGACAGTCACCTGAAATGACAAAATATTACAGCTTCTCTTTAAACAAGGTTTAGTTTGTAACATTGTCCTAAATTAAATTAAGGTGTGACAAGTATTTTCTCCAAATTCCTTGATGAGTTCATGCTCAATCATAATAAAGATGTCCTGAGATAAGTCTCTGCAATCTAAGGGCTGAGTGTGTACCTTGGTTTGTAGAGTTGCACAACACAAATAATAGTTTTTTCAACCTAATTTAGACAAAGATAACAGCGTCCACAGCATTATGAGACATAATGAGATCAAACGTTTCATGAGATCATTGATATGCTCCGAAAGAATAACTACAAAAGATGAAAAAGTGAATGATTACTCAAAACTACCATAAAGACCTACCATGGTCAAAAAAAAGGATGTGACTTAAGAAACAGCATCATGATATAAAAGACTGTTGACTCAGCCGTTTTCCCCTCTTAGTCTAACTAATATATTTAGCAAAACAACATCTCCCCTTACCTCTCTTGAATCCATGGCTGAGAAGCGTTCGTCATATATCTCCCGAATTGATTTTTGACCACGTCGATATGCCACTGTAAAGAAAAGTGTGTTGTGTACTGGTCAGACCTGGCGTTCAAAGTACATTGGAAAATGTGCAGTCAAAATGTCAGCATGCTGAAGAAAGTGGTACAGCCGAAACAGTCCAGTTACAGGCTGAAGTCTGTGTGAACGACTACTAATTGTTGTGCTTGTAAAACATGCAAAATACTGTTTTCACTTACTGTGGAAGGAATGATTGTGGTTCCTTGTCTGGTATGTGCAATATGTTTCAAATGGGAATGATCGACCTAGAATAGGAGGAAAAAAGGTATAGCCTTATTTAGCTAACTCAGAATAATAAACTTTCGACGTATACCCCAAATTAGAGTGTTATAACACACGCACAGACACACACAGACACATACACAGTATTCTGACCTCAGTTCAACATTTCTACATTCACATAGTCCTTTTTGACATGTCAAAACAACAAACATGTGTATTTAAGCCCATAGCCTTTCAAATATTTGATTGATTCAAAAATAATTTGTTTATATACACTTAACTAATGGGTCCCCAACCATCCACATAACGTTACTTATCAACAGGCTTCTGCAAGGAGCACTGCTAACTGTTACTCCACTGCTCCTTCTTATAACTAAATAACGTTACTGCTGGGAAACGTGAACAGAGCCAATGAATGAGAGCAATGGGACAACACATAATAGAGCCTCTGCTATCAAGTGACAATGATTGAAATGTAGGCTGCTGTTTTGCATGAATGAGAAAGCCCCACGCTCTTAGCACTGTTGTTAGCAAAATTAGCATCACAGAGCAAGGGGAAGTCGTGAGAAACTCACTCACCAAATAATGCTTTTAAAAGTCCTGGTCAGACAGTGCGTTGTACATATTTATCGTGCCGCTAAAGGAGACTTTTACTGAAATCCAAGTTACAAACCACTCTCGACTTTTCTTTTCGTGTACCTGTTAAAGCCCAAACACTCCCAGCTACAGTGCCATTACAGCGACACCAGCATTTACCACTTTCCTGTCTACTCTTCTTCGCTGAACAACGTACTTCCGGTAAACAACGCTCTGCCGCCCTCTGGAGGCGAAGGTTGGGAGTGTCCACACTTTCTCATGTCGGCCAGTAGTGGAAGATCTTTTACTTTGGTTAAATTAAAGTAGCAATACTGTAAAAGTACTCATTTTACTTCTCATATACAGTCTGTACATTAGACAGTAACCTGGTCCCTTGCAGTTATGTTTTATGGCAGCATTTTAAGTTAAATTAATACTATTCTATTTCATTATACTGTGCATTTTTTATTTTACTTAATATGTTCTACTCTGTTATTTTATTGTATATATAGTGCATCTTTTATACTTAATATTTTTACTCTGTCACTTTGATTGCTTAGTAAATGTGGAGCTAATTCTGACCAATGCATATACTGTTTTTCAATTTAATCAATAACAATGCATTATAGTTTCTTAAATCTGCATAGGTTGTGTATAATGTGAAATGTATCTTACCGTGGCTGTCAAATAACTGAAGTAAAAAAAAGTACATTTGCAAAAAAATGTTGAGGAGCAGAGGTGTAAAGTAAACATGTACCAATGCCATTCATTCAAGTACAAGTACATATATGTACCTTTATTACCTGATATAATGTGTGTATTAATACACTTGTTGTGTCACTTTAAGTGGATGTTAGTGTGTCAATTTATTGCAGTTTATGAACATGTACATTTCCCCAGTCCTCGTTAGGCTGTCTTGGCGCGTACACCTTCCTCTTATGATGCAAAAATGTACAAAGCGACTTTCATGGACGTTGTGTCCCGTTTACTGCTCTTTCTGTCTGTAGTGATTACATTAAAGGTGATTGGGTGAACCCGTGTCACGTGACCGTCCTCGACAGGAGTTTCCCCGACAGCTGAGCAGCAGCTAAATGCGTTTCTTTTCACCTGTAACAGAGATCATTTTTAACTCCATTGAGTCGAAGTTTCGTAGAATGGGTGATAAGAAGAGCCCCACAAGGTAAAGCAGTCGCTGGTGCCTGTGAGTGGAGACTTTTATCGGGCCGTTTGAGAGCAGGAAGCTCGGTCAATGGATGGAGCTTTTTTTTTGCTTTTTTTTTAACTGAATTGTTCATGGCGGCTGGGCTGAAGGTTTAATAAGGGGCAACTGCCTGAAATCTCCCGTTTCCTCAATGACTGACTTTCTGGGCAGATCACAACTTTAGAGTCGTGTCTTTTCCTGTTCCGGTAACCGTTACCGAACAGCGGAAGGGGGGCGGGGGGTTCTTTTGAAATCATTGCGCTCATTGCAAACATGGCGTTATCACAGTGTTTTTGTTTTGTTTTTGTCTGAAGGCCAAAGCGGCAATCGAAGCCCTCTGCCGCGGACGATGGGTACTGGGACTGTAGCGTGTGCACGTTCAAGAACACCGCGGAGGCGTTCAAGTGCATGATGTGTGATGTCAGGAAGGGTACGTCAACTCGGTAAGCATTGCTGGAGCCGTTCATTTCCAAATAACCGAAGCTCCGCAGGACTATTTTAACTGTACGCTCAGTTGCAGGTTCATCAGGTCACGTTACAACTATCCATTACAACAAGTTGCGATAAAATCTTATCTTTATGAAGGGTTTAATGTCCAGTTTTTGTTGAAATGGTTTTAGATAGTTGCTGATTTAACTTTATGGACAGTTGAGAGTGCAGGCCCGTAAACTACAGTAATCTACAGTACCACTGAGGTCATGTCTTTAGTATTGTTTATGGGAATTTAGCAAATTTCATAACCTTTAAGGGAAAAAAGATTAAATGAAAATATTTTAATAAAACTTATTGTGTGTTGGGGGGGTCAGAAGTTACACTCAGTATTACACAATACAATCAACATCATTATAATCCAAAGTCTCCACAATGTCCATAGAGTTCAATGAATACATCTATAAAACACAAAACCTAGCATGAGCCAGGGTTTATTGCAGGGCTGTTGTATTAGACTACAGTAGTTTTAGTTAGGTGGATCTAATGAACTGACAACTGAGTGTATGTTTGGGTACTTAAGCCAAAGACGTACCTATATACGTATGTGCTAGATGGGGAGAATTCATCATATAGGGTAACATAATAAATCTGTTCTGTAGGACTACATCACAGATTATATCTAGAAAGGTGTAAGAAAAGAAGAAAAGGGTCATTTACAGCCCGAGAGTTAGGTCCATGAAGGCATCTCACAAAATACCTCTATTTACTAATATCTGGGCAGTTTTACCTGCACAGTGGTGCTATCGAGAGTGATCTTGCACAGTCCCGATCCCTTTTTGTTTTGTGTCACAGACGGTCTGCTAGTATTGAATTATCACAGAAATAGAGAGAGACCCAATGGGGGTAAATTCATCTCTAACCAAAAATAATGGGGAATCAGTCTGAACCTTTTTTTTTTTTTAACCAATGCTCTTAAAACAAAAGCAGAAAGTAACTTTAAAAAGATGAAATTAGGAAGCTTGTAAAGTTAAAATGATGAAAGTAGGAGAAGAAAGGGAGAAATTGAGTGCTGGTAGGCCAACCCCGGATATTAGCATTGCACTGGTTCCCTCGACAAAAAAACAATGAGATTATTCCAATGGATTACTGCAGAATAAAAGTTCACACACGTTTATGATACTCCTGATTTTTTTTATTTTTTAAGCATGAGTTCAATCAGCAAAAGTTAAAAGCTAACGTTAAGCTGTAAACAAACTACACCACAGTCTCATGAGCTTCCATTTAAAATTGTATTCGGAGGTACACTCAAAAAATTCAAGGTTTTAGCCCCTTAGGACGACGCAGGAAATACAGTCTAACTCGTGCACGTACCTTGTCATTTTTAAGTGCCTTCATCATTTCAAGTGTTGATGTATACACAACGAGGGACTTGTCGACTTGATGACATTTTATAGTCAAACCACACGCTCACCCTACTCGTATGTTCCGTGATATGAAGGTAACTATGACGGCCATTGACTCTTTTTGTCTCTTTCAGAAAACCACGGCCTGTTTCTCAGCTGGTTGCACAGCAAGCGAATCAACAGTTTGCACCACCCATGCTCCCCAAAAAGGAGAAGAAAGAAAAATCAGAGAAAGACAAGAGTGATAAAGAACCAACACTGAAAAAGAAAAACCATAAAAAGATGAGGTAATTTGGCACATGCTCGTCATATTCGGGGGTCTTTTGATCTTGTTGCTGGTCGACGTATCGTCTGAGGAGCAGGTTTCAAATCTGTTTTGTTTCTGTTTGTTTGTGTCCATGCCCAGGCCCAGGTTAAAAAACGTAGACAGGAGCAGCGCCCAGCATCTAGAGGTCACAGTTGGAGACTTGACAGTAATAATCACAGACTTTAAGGAGAAAGCCAAACCCACGTCCACTTCGACAAGTGCTGCCTCAGCGGACCAACACAGTCAAAGCGGCTCAAGCTCCGACAACACTGAACGAGGGGTCTCCAGATGCTCCTCGCCCCACGTGGAGGCCTCGCCGGTTAACGGAGAGACTCACTAACCTTTTTAGCACAACCCATTCTTCTGCACTCTCTACAGCCTCAATCAGAGATTGATCTTCGACTTGCATTAATAATACTATAGATTCCAATGTGATAGCTGTTTTTGGGGGGGGCTGTATTTTTCACTGCCTCCCCGCGATGATAAAGAATTCAGGATTCAGGACGTATATGCTGTGTGCTCGATGCAAAGAACTGTTGCAACAAGATCTGTCCTGATGAACTGGAAACAAAGGAACAGTAGCATTAAATCCTGGATTTCTGCCACGTGTTGTGGTTACTTATGTTTTAACACTTCAGTGTTACGTCAGCAACACACTGGGTTGACCGTAGCTGCACAGAATACTTGATGCATTGTGAAAGAAAGAGAAAAAAAGTCATCTCAGAATTGTAGGTTATCCTTGTATTTTGTTATCGTTATTTGCACTTAATGGCGTTCTATGTTCATGATAACATTTTTTTAGCATTATTTCCACTTTTCCATTGTCAGTAAATCATAACACTGCTGGTCACTGGCTTCATTCAGCTCTTATTTTATGCCATTGGATGCAATCATCTTTTCTTTTTTTTCTTTTTTACTGTCTAACATTTGAGTAAAAATATTGAATAATTATTCTAAGTATGCTTCTCATTCACTTGGTAGAGATAAGCATGATTTAATCGATAGAATGGTTTATATTGTAAAATAATGTTAAATAAAATAAGTTGTAGATATATATTGGATATGTTTTTATTTAATTGTTTTCATCATAAACAGGAACAGTTCATAAGACGCATGGATTTCTTAAAAGGTGCTTTACCGGAACATACCTTTTATTTCCCCTGAGTGATTTGCTTTATCAACCCCACAGTCAATGGATTATATGTTTGAATGCGTTTGTTAACCTTTTTACCCTCATTATGACCGATACGTTCCATAAAGGCAAGACATGAAAAGGCAAAAGACTTGGTAGCCAGTTCAGGTCAATACATGAGTCGCACAAACTTCAACGTACTGTATGTGGGTGTTTGTTTTGTACCCTGCACCATGCTCCTTATCTTTGCTGTAGTTGTCTTGAAAGAAAAGCTCTTAGAAGCAATGATGGAAAGTAACTAACTTTACCTCCTTACTATTCATAAGTGAAACCTTGATGTACTTTAGCAAAGGTCTGGTTGCTGTATTCAGTGTTCACACCACTTCCACAGTCCTCATTCTTAACTTACAAGCCAAGAAGATGGGAATTTGGTTGAGTCACTTTCTTAACTATTTACCAGAATGTTTGAGTCGGTGTTCCCATCCTGTGTGACATCAGGAATGATTGTATGTACTTTTGCGGTGAGCTTTGAGTCGTTGGTATCTACCTGTCTGTCTAATGCAGTAACGTTACTGACAGATAGTTGATCAAACTAAACACACGTGTAACAGATGTGGGTGGGGCAGACAACTGTAAACAGCTAACTGTGCTCTTCGGTGTAGCTACTGACTTGATTTTGTGAGATAGATTTGTTAAGCTCGCATCGTAGCTAAGATCAACGACAAAAATGTTGAGTTAGCGCATAAAACTGGAAACGCAAAATGCGATGCTATCATCAAGCATTTCTCCTATGCATGGTCAGCACCTTCTTTTCACTGTTGTATGTGTTCAATCAACTAGCCTCCACCTTGGAGGACGGAGACGGCTGGGACCTGAACGAACAGGGGATACCCGACAGGCGCAGTCGTGACACCGGGCACCTTCTCAGGAAAAAGCCCGGACTCGCAGGCCTTCGAGATCGCGATGATGGGCTTGACAGGTAGCTTGGCTAGCTAGCTAATCTATGTCACCAAACGTTCATTTCATTACTGAGCACATTTATAACTTAACTTTACCTACATTTGTACGCTAGTTGCTATAAGGTTAGCGTGAATGTTAGGTTAGACCAAAATAACACATTATATACCTTTTTAAAACGTTAATTGACATGCTAAAGCTATCTTTACGCAAAACATGGCTAACGCTACTCAGCCGAGCTGATAATTAATCGTTAACGTTGTCTGGATAAATTGAAAATATGCTCAGCCTATTAATTGTGTTGTTTTACACCCACGGTCTATAAGGTTATGTGTTTCACATTGCTAATGCTTTCTTGTATAAATATATAGCTACGTTACCACCTGTTAGCTAGATAATTGACTAGCTAGCTAACTATTAACATTACTGCTAACTAACTAACTAACAACTAACGTTAACTGTAGGAGGTAGTTCAGGGCAGATCTAATCATTAAACATGTCTGATGTCTAAGAGATTCTTTTAACTTTGAGGATCCAAAAGATCATGTTTTCATTCTGTCAGGTGTAGAAAACTGTCAGTTTCTTACTGGAATCCATATTGGAGACTGCCTGCTGATGTTTGTGGAGTGAACTGCTTATTGGAATCATCTATTAGGTATGACTGATTTTGTGCATCTCTTATTAATATATACACCAATGTTATTTACAATCAGTATACTTCAACTTGCAACTCTCACATACTTAACGGGTCAACGGTTCAAAGTAAAGTCTGGGCCTATTGCTGCACTCACAGTGTACCTTGAAACTACTCTTGATCATGAAGTCATAAATACAAGCAGTTTTCAGAAACGCACATACTGACAACACTTTGAGCTGTTAGAGTAAAGCCATCTCATGATCATGAGTACATCAAGGCAGTGCTAATGTGGTGAAAAAAGTACTTTCTTCTATATCACATTTTAACCTGAAATCTCAATGTTGCTATCATAGATAGACACATACACACCACTAAACATACCAGTATCTTATTTACAGACTTCTGTCTTGATAAAGTTTAACCTATGCTTGCATCATCAGATGCAAATGTTAGTAACTAGAGTCTTGTACAAAATTAACATGATTTAGTCAATTTTGTAGTCAAGTGTATTTATGTAGGTCTGCCATACTACCACATTCATGAGAGATAGTCCTGTTCTACCTTTCATTAAACCCGATGACAGTTCCAATCCTACATGGCTGAGCACCAGTCAGCTGAGCCTGCTGTATCTTCATTACTATTGCAATTGTCAGTGTATCCATGCTGTTGTATGAATACAAACTGAGCTTGATTACTGATTTATTTGACTTTGTCTTGGCTCTTAGAAAGAGATCAGGCTCTGAAGTCGAGGAGCATGGCGATGGGAGAAGTCACCTGGCTGTGGTGGCCTGTGGCCCCCGGCTAGAAGAGACTCTTACCATGTTGAAGTCTGCTGTTCTCCTCAGCAGAAAGCCTCTGCACTTTTACATCTTTGCTGAGGATGATCTACATGACCACTTCAGAAATGCCGTAAGTTTCTTCCCCTACAACACCAGGACTTGCATATACTTGTGTATTCATGTTCAGGTTTTACATAGATTCTTAAAGCAATAGCCCATTATGACTGTGTCTTATGCTATTGTCAGAGAATCACATTAAGAGGGCCTTATTGCAACCATTGCACACCTTGTGCAACTCAAGTCAAAATCTTACATGTGGATATTGTTGATGTAAAACCTTTCTTTGTGCTATCTTTTCTTTAAGCTGGACTCCTGGCCCAGGACAGTACAGACCAAGTTTATCTACACCATCTACCCCATCACGTTTCCTAATGCGAATGCAAAAGAGTGGAAGAAGCTCTTCAAACCTTGTGCCTCCCAGAGGCTCTTCCTGCCAGTAGGTCTAGACTCATCCTTCCTGCATATAACTTGTAACAATAACACATTTGGCAAGCTCATGAGTTTTTTTATATTCTGTTTTCCAGCTGATTCTGAAGGAGGTGGACTCTTTGCTCTACGTGGATACGGATATCATTTTTCTGCAGCCAGTAGAGGACATCTGGGCCCTTCTTTCTCAGTTCAATTCAAGCCACTTAGCGGCCATGGCTCCGGAGCACGAGGAGCCACGCATCGGCTGGTACAACCGCTTTGCCCGCCACCCTTACTATGGCAAGACTGGCATCAACTCAGGGGTCATGCTCATGAACATGACGCGCCTCAGGGAGAAATCTTTTAAGGTAATGTGCAGGTAGCTGTGTTTTTATATGTGTGTGTGTAGTCCAATCATTGTTACATTCTGAATTTCTACCGTTTGGGGATCCCCAAGAACCCCCAAGAAAATTTGAAACAGTTTGACTTAAAACTATGCAATTTCTCCCTGTTGTTGTTATTATTATCACTATAGATAACTATAGAAATCTTTCTATAGTTTAATAATTATTTTATTATCTTCACATATAGCAGCTTTCATCTGAACATTTAATCCTTCAGTAAAATCATATTGTATTCAATCAAAAGAGCAGATTAAGAACACTTTTAAATAACGTTTCATTTATTATATTCATTCACAAATAAAAACAGTTCACTAATTATTTTACAAAAGGACGTGGACATCCTATCACTAAACTACAGCACCATCGTTCTCACCCTCAGCATCTTTCTAAGCAGATGGGAAAAATCGTAATGTCATAATGTCCAGGTCCACAGGTATGTTTATGAGAAAAGGATGGCTCAGTGTTGATACAAACACTTACTACACATTTAAAGTGGGCCGTGTCAATGTTGGTAGGCGGATGTTTGTATTCTCATCTATGGAGTTATATGATGTCGGCCTATTTCAAACAACATCTCTACATTCAGTTAGTCATTGAGGCATCTTGAGATGTGTGAAATGTAGACATTGTACAATAGTTGAGAATGCTGAAGGCTTCAGGAGCAGCTGTACCACCGAGACTGACCAGCTGAGGTCACTCTTGTAATACCTTTCTAAACCGTCACAATGAGCAAACTCGCTTGAAAGACAAGACAGTTTCTTTGAGTTGATGTGAAGTGTTGACTAAGTGATTCATTTAGCAGAATTGATGTTTATGACTTCCTGATGCAAACTGGTATGAATGTTCTTTTGATTGCTGTATTGTCTCCTTCTAGAATGACATGACAACAGTTGCACTGAAGTGGGAGGAAATTCTTATGCCCCTTTATCAGAAGTATAAACTCAACATCACCTGGGGGGACCAGGACCTTCTTAATGTCATATTTCACCATAATCCAGGTTTGTGCAATCACATACTGCATCACTTTTTGTCATGACTCTTAAATTCCATGGAGTTAAATGTCTGAACTTGTTTTAAATATGATTGTATAGGTCCTAAAATGAATGCTCTACTGTTATGATGTTCGTTTTTTGTTGTTTTTTTTGCTCTGGAGGAGAATGGAACCACATGAAGCGTGTCACTGTCTGCTTGTAGTCTACACGATAACGGTCCTCACGTGTCCACGATAACAGAACGATATTCAACTATGCAACGCCTGTAATGAATTTTGCACTATATTCAGCCTCTCTATCTCTCTCTCCTGCTTTCTCTACGCTTCACTGCATTGACGTAGCCCTTAAAAAACAACAGTAACAACATGCTAGCACACAACTGATTTCTTGTTATTGTGGTTCCATCCACAAAGAGCTGCCGGACCAAAACTACTATTAATCCCTCAATCATGGAGGGCCTTTGCAAAGGTGGAGAGACTGCACGAGGTCAATTACCACCAGTTGATTTAATATGATCCAATGATCTCAGCGTGCCCCTGTGTCAAATAGCACTTACTGCCTACAGGTATTGCAACATATCAGAAGAATGTCTCTTCTGTCTCTTGCTGTTCTACAGAAAGCCTGTATGTGTTTCCCTGCCAGTGGAACTACCGTCCGGACCACTGCATCTACGGCAGCAACTGTCAACAAGCCGATCGAGAAGGTGTCTTCATTCTCCATGGTAACAGGGGAGTTTACCATGATGACAAGCAGCCGGCTTTCCGAGCCGTCTACGAGGCCATCCGAAAGGTAGAGTCCGCCTCTAACAAGGAGTCTGTGGTTGTTCTACAGTCAAATCAACAACTCCAAACTTCTTATTGGTTAACAATCAACGTGTTCTGCAAAAATTCCTTAATTGAAGAAGTCGTTTTTACAAAGAGCATTCCAGACAGTTAAGTGGATAACTTAATGTAAGGGGAAGTAATGTGTGAAAGGCTTTGTTTATTCTAGTGCGGATAGGAGTGAGAAATATGACTTAAAATGTATATCACGGTATTTTTAGTGGTTTTTATGGTGACTGTATCAGGATATTATAAAATTAAAAGGGATACTCAACTCAAAAACATGATTCTACCAATTCTCCCTCTATTGGCAATGTGAGGGAACAAAAGCTGATGTTTTTTATTTGCTCCAACTAAGAATGAAGATGAGGTTTAGACCTGCACGTGTTTTGGAAGCAGTAGCCTGCCCCATAATGTAAATGTGTAGTAACAGCCATGCTGTTGGTTTGAGTTGTGAGTGCATTTTATAACCTGGATTTCAGCAATAAGAAATGAGAATAACATTACACTTAAAATAATTTACATCATTGAAGAAACCAAACCCTGACATAGCCTTTATATTTAAACCCACATGAAGAAAGAGTGGAGACACTTTTGGACCAGAACCGTAAAAAAAGGACACATGGACGGTGAGCAGCGGCTTATCTAGAGCTTGTGCGGCCTGTTTTTTATCAGCAGAAATAGACCAAATGATCTGATAAGGGCTGGCAGTACCAGCTCCGGCCGAAGCAGCAATGCTGTCTGTGTGGACATCAGGCGGGCTTTGTGGCTGCCCGAACCTGCTAAAACGGACCGGCAGCAGCCTGGACACAACCATAGACATTATACACTGTGTGGGAGTGATGCAGTTCATCAGGAATTGCAAAATCCATGTTGTGGCTGAGGGTGGATACTGGCAACTGGTGATGAAAGCGGTATACCACCCACTCTTAAGTGAGGAGCAACCATTTCTATGCTTCTTCGCTGGTCCCTCTGTGCCTTTTAGAGGGCAGTTGTGTCGGTCCAGACTATTTGGTGGTCATTACATTATCAATAGGCACTCCAGGCCATTGCAGTGCTTAATCAATAGCCTGCTACTCATTTCCGTCATCCTGTCTCAGCTCTCCCAAACCAGACAAATCAGCCCCACCCTGCTTCAGTCGCTTTAGATGTTGTCAGATAAAAGGCTAAAAGAAGATGAAGTGAAGAAACGTAACAGCCAGTGAAATTGTGTTGCTCATTGATGTGCTTTTAAAAGTTCTTGGACATCAATGGAAGTCTTTGGCACAGAGCGATAAGCTTTTATCGGATTTGGGACACACAGACAATGCTTGTTAGTAGGAGCGATTCATTGTTGTTTTGGTCTTTTCATTGTATTTGTTGACAATAATCTCCACCCTCATGCTGTAATATCCTCCTCTTGGTTTTGTGCATAGGCCTGGAACAGCTGGTGAGTCCTGGCTGCATCTTTACGCCTTCTGTAAACTGTAAAAATTTCATTTTAAGTTGGTACGATGCCCTAAAGAGCGCTACCAGTGCGTTTCTGGCTCTTGAAAATAAAGACAGAACTGGGATTAAAACAAAAGTTTGACATCTGTCAAATTGACTTTGCGTTATTTACGCATTTTTTTCAGCTTTCATAGCTTAAGAGTCCTCCACACATCCGTCATCAATGAGGGAGCAAGTCAGCCGGAGAGCTCTCTGCTGCGTTGGCGGCTCGCCTTCGATCGGCTCTTGTTGATTTCAGCACACCGGTCAACATGCAGGTAGCGATCGGGGGAGTAAGGGAAGCCTCATTAGCTGGTCTCCATCCATTACCGCCACAGGGCCCAGCCTGGCCACTATCAGCGCGGGCAATGTTCTCAGCCATTAAGTAAACGAGCAGCCTTCATTACAGGGCACTCGGCCCTCATGCTTCCATCAGTCTCTCCGACAGCACAGACATAAAGCATCCAAGACAGTAAATGCCAGACTCCACCTGGTTTTAGGAGGCGGAGGAGTGCTGCGGTTTGTCATTAGTAATCATAAACGAGTCCTGTATTAAATAAACAAGACCTTGTTGTACAATTAGCCTATTAGAAAAGAGCACGGTGTGACTGAAGAGCATTTCCATCCTTTTGTTGCTATATTTTGTTGAAGCTTTTATCCGCGCTTCCTGTTGCTCCAGCTCCTCGGGCCCCCTCCCACTTTGTTCCCTCTCGGTCCTTGGAGGACCGCATCCTAAAGCCTGGAGCAGGCAATTCTGGAGGAAAGTCTCATTTCCATCCCACCAAGAGCTCCTTAGTCAGCCCAGTTCTCCCAGCCAGCATAGGAGCTTGCAATAAAGAGCGCTACCATTACGCAGCCAAGCCCACAGAAGAGTTGTAAAATTTTTAGTGCTGATGCTAGTTTGAGACATCGTGATGGCTGTGTGGACAAAGCACCCGCAGCATCCACATAAAAATCGATAGGCGGCTGTTAATGGTGCTTTATTGCCTGTTGCAGTATATGAAAGATAATAAAGAAAGTGTGCCTTGCCTTACCTAATGCTTGGCCAAACTGGAGTCAAATGAGATGCTGTAAAATAGTGATTTCTTCTTATTTACTAGTGCAGTAAAACAATGGCGTGCCTAGATATGAGAACAAAAGGCCCACATCCTTATTTTCATACTGTACGTGACAAAAGCCGTCGCTGCTTATATTAACCGGCTTAAGGGCTGGAAGTTTTATCTTTGCTGTTCACTTGGTGACACAAAAGCAGTCAATAATGAAGCATATCTGGAATGCTGCAGCTGTAGCTCCCACCAATGCGGTTACGCCTTACTGAGCGCATTCTTGTATAGTTGTAGTAACAGATATTCATCATCCAAACACTGTCTGAATTGACGGTTATGAATCAAATGCAGAATGTTGTTGTCTTGGAAGTGACAGTGATAAATGTGGCACTTCATTTTTGTGATTTGAATGCGGTTCTCATTGACCCATCATGGCTGCCACAGCACGCAACAGGTATATAATATAACACACAAAAGAACACGTTGAGTCTCTTATGAGTAATGTCGGGAGAAGAGCTGGAATCAAAGACGCATAACTGTGGATGTTCAAAGCTGTGATCTTTATTCTGAAATGAGAAATATAATGCATGCAGACTTTTTTCTCTTCCTCACAGTACACATTCGGTGAGAACATGGAGACCTCGCTGCTGCAGCCGCTGGAAGCATCGCTGCAGACCACCACGAATACCTACTGTGGAAGAGCCAGTCACCTGTTTACGAAGAAGTTAAAAGGGAGCATCGCATCTGTTCAACGAGATGTCACACAGAGAAGATGATCAGGACATGTGGAAGCAGAGTCTTGGATGTAAGACACTCCTGTGGTAGAGTCACAAGTCCGTCTCAACCACAGACTGGAGACAATCCCTCTGGTTCCCTTTCTAGAACTAGGTGCAATGAATTATAGAGTTTAAATAAAAGCTACTTAGAAGAGCCAATCCAAAGTCTTTAGGGTGGCTCCTCATATTGGGACGGTGACATGCAGAGGTTGTGTGTCTACTGGTTCGTGGCAGGAACACATGCACAGAGCGCTTGTTGCTGCAGCTGGGGCCTGTGCTAAGAAGCAGGATTTAGGGTTTTGGGAGGTAACTTCAGGGCGGCTCCGGAGCAGGTTATGTTCGAGATATAAGAGATCAACTTGTTTAAAAGCACCGCCTACTGACCAATCAAAGCCTGGCGAACGGATCGTGAGATAATATTACACAAATACAAAGAAGTTAAAGTCATAATCCAGGGTGAAAGCAACACATATTTAACTGCCAGAAGCAGAAAGGAAAGCTGGCAAAAAATCTGTGCGTAAATTTGAAGGTTCATAATATCACTGCCTCATCTAGACCAATATTTGAGCCTCATTCTTTCTGCTTCAACCCCGGCAGCGTGAAACAGACTTCAAAGCAAAAAATAAATAAAAAATAGGCTATAATAATTTAAAGACGTAAGTAGACTTCCATATCTTGTAAGTCAGGCTCTACTGAATAGATCGAAGCTTCATTCATAACGTTGACATTCAAATTGGATAAAGATTAGACTACACTAATATCAGGCTTATTAGTATTATACTATTTGTATTATAATATTTGTAATATTCATGCTATATTTTATGTGCTCCAAGTCCAGGGTTGCAGCTGAAAAAATAAGGCTAAAATTGTCATGCACGCCATCATTTAGAATAAAGTATCTTCTATTGTGAAAGACGACATCTAAGCAACAACATCATTTAATAGAATACCCAGATGTAATGTAGTCAGATCTACTCGTGCTCTAGATGGGGCTGTGATATTGTAAACCTACTAATTTATGCTTTCACACACTCTGCTTGTTTATGATTGGTCATATGCTGCAAACATTTTATGTGCCCGCACTCATAGCCAGATTGAGAAACCCTGGGAGGATTTACCGAGTTGATGAGCAGCTTTGTGGGACCGTTTAGCTGGATTACAGTTGTTAGGGTTAGTTAAGCCAGACAACCAAAAGATACCCTGTTGAACTCGCTTCGCAGTACAGGCCTCTGCTCTGCTAATGTAATAACACACACACACACACACACACACACACACACACAGTGGGTTCACTCACTGTTGCTGCTGGTCAAAGATTAAAAAGTAGTAATAACCTCGGACCTCTCTTTCCGCCAGTAAACAGCTCCAGAATGTGAGTCACGGTCGAGGTTTTATTCCTCCAGAATTTCGACCAATGACAGCGCGTTATACACCACGTGACCCTCCGATACGTCCCCATGCATGTAAATAGACGATGGTAGTTAAACTTTACTTTGGTGTACCTTTGGTAGGCGGAGACGATGTAAGACTGCCCTTTGTGGAGACATTGAGCTGGATGACAAACAGACTCGGGTCAACACTGGACCGTCGTCCGTTGACAAACTGCGTATCAAGATTAGTAATGGTGAAGGGTAATCTGTGGAACAGGTTATGTTTTTTTATTCTTCTGTGAAGCCAATGTTGGTAGATATCTATTGGATCACAAATGCTTCCTCACCATGGTGGGAAATGCACAGACACTTTTGAGAAAGAACCTACAATCACTTTGTTGTTTCAGGTCTTTTGGAAAAAAGAAACACAGCAGGGTACTTAAATATGTACTCCTATCGGGAGTATTTTATTACAGCTGTTTTAATATAATTGTGCATACAGGTTTTGTACTAGTGTTTTAGTCACTGCAGTATATATTGGGAAAAAAAGGGTTATTGTTAGTTTCACAGCAATTGTCTTGTTTTTTAGTGAAGAAAACAGATGCTCATTAAGAATACTTTAAACCTGTATTCATTATTGTTGGACATCTGTGACAGGAAGCACTTTTAATGTCTACCTTGTAACTAACACGAGGCTATCATTTCATTTTCTCTGGTACGGGAGTTTGTCAAATAGTTGTTTACTGTACACTGTATGAGCATTTAAGTATTTTCAGTAACTGCCAATATGAACATAATATTACAACTGGAACAATGTCATAGACGGCAGTTAGGTCTCAATCAAGCGTCATCTGCTCCAAGACAGGTTTAGCAAAAAAGTTGCACTTTTGATGTGAGACATTGGGGACTGTAACATATCACAAAATCATATCTGTGATTGTAATGTTTCACTGAAAACCAGCATAGAAGTTCAAGTGTATATCAAATGTATGGGAAATAAATATTTTTAAAAAAGCATTTCCAATGGTGTCTGATGTAGTATCTCTAAAACACGCTTGTGATAAGTTTGCATTTTTAAATGTGACACAGCTTTTAAGTGTGTTATATGGTGTTAAATTTCCTTTTGTTGGTTTTAAAGTAAATGCACAGTATTTTGGGCTACAAATAGACTTTATTAAGAGAACACCTGATAAGAGTATTGCAATAAAAGGTAAGGAATTACAAAAATTTGCTCTTTGTAATAGGGCTAATTAATTCTGGTGTAACTGAATTATTTGACTGAAATTCCTTCAGTTGCTCGGTTCTCAGTTTCTTCCATTTTGTTTAGTATTCTTAATAAGTCGTGTGCACCAGCCTCCAGAACCACCTTACATAAACTATACTTGTTGCCAACTCACTGCAAGCGAAAGCTAGCATGATCCATGTCCCGGAAGGAAGCAGCAAGCTTAAGGAATTAATGTGCGAGTGTGAAGCCTTCAGAAAGTGTTGTTAGATGGCCGAAAAGAAGCCGATGTGTCTGAGTCAGTAGCCTCTGGCTCTTCATTTCACAGTCAGATTGACAGACGTGCCTGGAATAGCCAATCGATGTGCATGATGAATTTAAAGTGGTCACTATTCTAAGAAGCTGTTCGATGTATGCATTTCTCTTCCTGAGAAATTACCAAGTGTGCATTGAGTTGGGAAAACATCTTCTATATTTTAAGATTTGCATAAAAGCTTTTAGTTGTATTGTAAGCTAATTAGCATGGCTATAAGAAAGGCTCATGAGCTGGCTCTGGTTCATATATTTAATAGAGAACCACTGTGATAGACGCTCTTGGTACTAATCTCACAACAGTGTCTTTTAGGGGTTAAGGAGTGCTTATGTTGGTTTGCTGAGTGAGCAAAAAAAGACCTATACGAGGTCAATTTATTTCTGCCACAATCCTGTGATTATATCTTTGTAGAGAAATATTCAATGGCATTATTGACCGCCGTCAAACGCAACCCTTAGTAAGATGGATGTTTACAACTTCAATGTGCGAAGCATATATAGCGTTTTTAAGGGGAAAGGCTAATGCTACTACTGCCTGGTTTCACTCCCCTGAGTATAAGGGTGATGGAGGTCTCATTCTCTTTCGGTCTAACAGGAACTGCCGATAGATTATTCATGTTATTGCTTGCACCACTTGGGCTCCGTAATGTTCGATAGCAATTTAAAGCTCAGGCATAAATTAAAACAATTAAAACAGTCAGAGGCAAATGGCCCAACACAAAGTAAAAAGGGCCACAAAGTAAGGATTATGCAATATCAGGCCGTGCAAGTCATCAGCATCCTCTTAACATGTTTGGCAGATTGCATTGCAACTGGGACTAGATGTAGAAATGACAAAAACGATGCATACACCATGTCCAATTCATAAACTGGAATTGAGTCCACTGAGAATGTGTCTGCAGACCATGCATACACACAGTTTTCTACAAGAGATGAATTATAGGGAAAAAACCTGCAATAATTACATTTTTACAGCTTTTGGGGCAGCAGAAACAAAAAGTGATCACAACATTGACATATCACATTTTAAGTAGCAAACAGTTTCCAGTTTACACATCCAGCACTTACACAACATTATCAATAATTTAGAGTCGTGTTTCTGGCCACCTCCTGAGTGCAAGTGAAATATTCTCTCCATTTTCAGCTCTGTTGTTAGTCTCTACCATCTCCTGGAAGAAATATCTGGTTCTGGTTCCACTATGTTCACCAGCTCTGTGACCATCTGATGTGTGATGGTGAGCAGGTAGTGCACAGTAGGTTTTTAGAGCTTTTTCTTTCTATGAACTGCAGCCTGCTGCAGGTGAAACCAACATCATGCGAGTGGTGCGAGTGAACCAAAACAGCTGGAGAGCCAAACAATGAGCTGAAACTTGAAACAAAGCTTTGTAAAACTGAGGGGAGTAAGTATCTAAGTCTAACATTCACTCTTCTTTTAGCTCTATTTTGTGAGATTGCTCTTGTGTGCATGCGTTTGTGTCTGTCCACTGCTAATCTTGCATAATGCTCCACCAAACTGCATGCTCAAGGACCTATTGCAGTGACTCACATTTTCCCAAAACACCTTTTATTGCCTGTTTGATACTGCCATCGACTGCCTGCTGACTCCTTACTCATTACTCTGTCAGTGATAACACAGCTATAGCCCCAGCCGCTACTCTGCGACACAGTAGTCGAAAGCCAGGAGTGGTCACAGATGCTCTCCACGGCCTGCAGTCCTTCAAAATGACAGAAGACTTTTGGATTTTACGACATTGTTAAAAAAATAATTTAAAAAGGATGGAAAATATTTGGTTAACAGAATCTCTGCTGTATGTCTTAGTGGAAAACTGTTAGCCTTCTATTGTTTTGGACGATGTGTTCGGCTATCAGCTAGCAGCTACCGGACTGCACGTGCAGTTGACTTTATTGCGGCCAGAGGCAGTTATTCCTTGACTTTTTCTTGGGCATCAACTTCACATTTACACACCTATTGTCAAAAAATAGACTTGAAGCCTGAATACATGCTTCGAGTCTTGGTAACGCCTGTGAGACGGAGCTGAGACAGCCCCTGCATAGAGCCGGTGCAGACATCTGCATAGATCAAGATGAGTGCCTATCTTTTGTGTGAAAAACACATCTGACACACTTGCGGTCTAGACGGGGTTAACCCATTGAGGATTTTGTTCATTCTATCACACAATACAGCAGATGTCATGCAGACACAGCTTGCCGAGATCTGCACTAAGATCTGCTGAGTCCCCCATTCTACTTCACTGGGTTTTTATAGAATCTAAAAAAAAGTTATAAAAAGTCAAAATACAGTATGTTGAAAAAAGTCATAGTATAGTTTGTTAAAAAAAGTAGTAAAAAGTCATAGTATAGAATGTCATAAAATTTCACTGTATAGGATGTCATAAAAAAGTCAAAACAGTCATAGAATAGTTTGTCATAAAAAGTGAAAATGTTCATTGTATAGTACATCACAAAAAAGTTATTGTATGGTGAATCATAAATATATTTTACATTTAAAATCTTAGTATAGTATGTTAGAACATGCTGCCATTAGTGCAACTAAAAAGTGATAATGTCGTTACGGGTCTAAAAAGTCAAAGTAAACTATGTCATAAACTAGAATTATCACCTCAACCAACAAGTCAATTTGTAGTTTACATCCATGTTCGCCCAAAATGTTGTCACCAGATATTCAGATATTCGTGTGAAATTGTCATAATTATCATCGGTATTCTTTACTTAAGGTCAAAAAATGTTTTGTGAGGTCACAGTGACCGCGACCTTTGACCTTTTACCACCGATTCTAATCAGTTCGGCCTTGAGTCCAAGTAGTCAAGACATGAACCTGCGGTGAGTCATGTATCGTGTTGGTTTGATTAACTGAGCAAAGTGACACAACAGAGCGGGGAAGAGAATAAAGTAAGAAGTTAATCCCAGATGAATAGACCAGGTACGATCTGTTTCCCCCGAGAGCATCCATCTCTCTGCTCTCTGCCTCTCCTGCTGCAGAATGATATCATTTAACTAGTGAACATTTTGATCAATAATACACTTGCCTGCACTGCTGAGACAGGTATTTTGTGCTGATATGTCAGGGGTTAATAAAAATTAATGTAATTTACCGCTAGGCATTAGCCATGCATGGAGAAGTGAATTTGCCACTGTAAGCAGAACCAGATAAGAAATATGCATATGGAAATGAAATGAAATCGTTAGTTTAGTGCCAATGGTAAAGTATGGATATCATCCTGTCACTTCACAATTATTGATAGACTGTAATGTAAACCTAATTTCAGTCTTACTTTGTTGGAACAAGATGAAGAGAATACAGTCCCGCTAAGCACAGCAATGCTTTAGTAAGAAGGGCAAAATACAAAAAAATCTCAATGCTAGTCTGTTAACGTTTACATTACCGGCACCAGACCTAAGGGGAAACCTGGACCGGCAGCAAAGGTTCCCGTCATGCTCAGGCCAAAGCTTGCTTAATTCTGACCTGCGTGTCACATTAGCCTGTAGCGATGTTCTCCCTAATGGATCCACAGCCGCACCAAAGCGCCATCTACCGACGTGATAGTGTATTACCTTGATACGGGCGTTGGACAAATAACAATCATGACGTGCCAATGATGCTAGAAGACAAGTCAAAGTATCAAGATCAAGGTATTACAATTCGTCCTGATGGGGGACATGGATTTCTGTGCTACATTTTCAGGGCAATCCTGGATCTACTTTTCTAAACTTGCAAGTCAAATCCTATCCGAGCTAATTATTTGTTACCTCTTCCTCAAAGAACAGAAGGTAAACTAGATTAATGACATACAGCCTTACAGCTACACTGTGTGGATCAATGTTTCAACAAATAATCCATACCCCGGGCACCCGCGGGTGGCGCCTCCACTCCTCTCACTCAACAGTCATAAACAACAGCTCAAAGAGCTTCCACATTGACCCCAAGGGCTCTTGCCTCCGCCGCCGTCACATACAAGATAGCGTGGCATGTTTTATAGATGCATAACATTCAAACACACAAAAATAAGGACGTTATTACTCAGTCTCACTCTTATATTGGCTTTTTATGACTCAGTTGGAGCAAATGTCATTGAGATTGAGCATTCAAAATGCACAAGTAATACCATCTGTATTACCACTCATAAAAGAGGGCATCAATCACTTGAACTGACCTTTTTTTCCCCCTGATAAAGTGTCTCATCAATGAGCCACATCCCAGTGCCTGAGGGCTAAAGGACGATTGGTTGAAATCAATGCAATGTCAAGTATTGTTAGTGAACAATATGCCCCATGATTCAATATTCCGCACTTTCTTGATTGCATTGTAGACACCACCGACAAGCAGCATTAATGGGCCGAGCATGCGATTCATGGTAACTGATTGACTGCACAGGCTATTACGGGCATCCACTTTCATGCACCAGCATGACAACAGCATCAGTGGCCGTAAATTGTCTGTGACTTGGCCAAATGCCAAGAATGT